ATTGAACAAAATAAGCAGTTATGCATAAAACTATCCATTCCATTATGCATTCTTTTCTATATGGATATGGCTTACTGTGATGTACGTAGCTGCCAGCAGTATTCTCCGAACAATGGACAACAACTAATTAACAAAACACTACCAGCTCGATCGCACAGGGATCCGCCCCCTAAACAGTCAAGTTAATAAGTACATAAACTTCTATAACAATCATACAATTATTGATATAGCGATAAGATCAACCTCTATCATCCCCCTAGGGGGAAATTAAATTGTTTCAGCAGCAGGACAGGGTAAAGGTGACCCTTTAGTAATAACCCTGAACATTAATTATTCAGGGTTATTAATTGTGAGTGAAAAAAAATCTACGAACAGTACAGTACAAAAGTACAGAACAATTTAAATATTCTTTACAGACTGAAAAATGCTTTCAAAAATAAACATTTACAAAAATTTGCAAAAAGTCAACAAGAAATATATATACATAAAGACACACTCTAGACAAGATACATTACTATAATCTCAATTGTACTTTATCAATTGAGATAAAATACAATTGCACAATAGATTATTGTACTCAACTATGTATATAGTTGAGTACAATAATCTCAACTATATACATAGAGGGAAGATGTAAATGAGGTGAATAAGTGTTTGCTGTATTGTACAAGATGATGTCAGCAGCCATAGCCTGGTCATCAACACCTACCTGTCTGCGGAGAAGTTCGCTCGTGTGCTGCAATCTCCTCTCTAGCTTCTGATAGCAGCAGGTACCAGCGCTTTTCACATCCCAAAATAATGATGAGTATGTTAATAAGGTACGTTCAAACATTTTGATGCTGTGTGCCCATTAATTTAATTATGCTAAGTTTCATCATCATAATTTACACATTTCTTAATCCAGTCTAAATTCTATGATCAGTTAATTTCTCTTTGTTGATTACTAGGAATGCATTTGTTATATTTTTTTTGTTTTTTGCAACAACCAATAACAGCTCTTTGAAGAGAGTGTCACACCTTGCAATGTGGTCAACCACACCTCCTCACTAAGATAAAAGCTTCTGTCGTCTTCTCACTCAGAGTCGCTCTCAGTAGCTTCCTTAATCACTTTTAAGCTGAGACTCCTTGCCAGGAATTTGTTAGGCTGTGCTCTGGAGCCACACTGCACCTCTTCAATTCAAGGTTCGAAAATCTGTTGGAGCCTCTTTTTGGCAGCTACAGTTAACCTACTCAGTGGAGAGCAGTGTGACCCTCAGTTATTGGAACACAATCTTCCCTTTTGTTAAAAAAAATTGGGACTACAACCCCTGGTCTACACCTCCACAGGTGCCATCCCTGTGACACTGAAGAATCATGTCAACACCAACAGTCCAACATTTTCCAGACTCTTCAGCATCTCTGGGTCAATCACACTGGGGAGCTTTTGAACTACATCAGTGACCTTGGCCGTAGTGATGGACCCTTCTTTCTCCAAGCCCACAGTCTCCTCCACGGCGGACATATCTACTGGATTGAGGGATATCTGGCTTCTATCACCAGTTAGTAGAATCCTTTACATTTAGAGACTTCCTCAAGGGTGTCCATCAATTTGTGAAAAGTTGTTATTTAAGGTTAATGTTTTGATATTTTTGTACAAAAAAGAAAACGGGCATCAAAAACTTCTATCATCTAAGCATCAAAGGATTAGGGGTTGCCGGCAAATTTAAAAAAGCATCACTAGTTTGTTTAAGAAAACATTTAGGTAAAAAACTGAATACGGTTTTCCATCATGTTAGAGCAAAAACTCCTAAAAATGTCATTAACTTACATTTCAAATGAGTCTCTTTATAAGACAAGCTGTTCCTTTATTTAAATATAGCTTTATGACAGCTACATGACATTTCTGTCTTACATTCCGAAACGTTTCTCTCCATGGAGACTCTATGTAGGCCTATCAATAAAGCACCAGGAAGACTTCCTGCTCTTGTTTAATGTCCCATTTCCTACTTCCTGCACGTCTCAATCGTTCATGATCTTGTTCAGTGTGTCTTATTTATGGGCTGTCTTGTTATTTTGTTACTCTGGGGGACTTTAGGGGGAGTTTCATTACAGATCCCTCTTTAATTTCAACTGATCAGCATGCTTCATTGGATGCCCATAAGGAAAGTCACAGAGCTAGCAGAGGAGATTAGCTGTTTGGTGTGGGCAAGAAAGAATAATAGTTTTTTTGTGTTTTGTTTTTTTTTGTGTCCCACTAAACTTTGACAAACAATGTGTGACCAATTTAGTCCACGTTAACAAAGTGTTCACAATGCACATGCAGCAATGAACAACTCTTTTCATTGGAAAAGCATCCCTTGCGGGCTTTATAAATGCACACAGTAACTGGAGGGCACTTTAATTAAAATGCACTCGTCGCTGTCACAGCAGCCTGTTACAGTCATTTAAGAGAGACGTTAGTTCAGTTAATCATTCTGTTAATTGGCCAGCGATTCTGATAGAGAACACTCAGGTTTTCAACAGGCAGACTTCTTTCTTTGTATTTCTGCTCTAATTAAAGTGTTGCTTGTTGAGAGCACAGAGGCTATTTGTGAGCCTCCCACACTGAGTCATGACTTAGAAGGGGAACCGTTTTTTTATAGGCAAGCGTCAGAATGTTCAACATTTTTGAGTTTTACATTTGTTTGTCTTAAAGCAATAAATGTTATAGATACCCAGAAACAGCAGCTGGTTGTTTCTTCATACCATGTTCATCAGGAAGTAAAGATGACATTTGTACTGTAGTTTCTTTCCACTTAGCTTTTTTTTTTTCCCTGTCCTAATAAATTCATAAACTGCACCTGTGTAAAGAATGTATTTTGAAAAACTAGTGTCAATTTGTGCACACACTAAAATACAACATTAAATGTGAGTCTAATGTTATGTTTTAAGTTGTTGCAACTTGTACTGTAGGTCCTCTACCATAGTCACTTGTTACTATTTAAAGTTGTTTCTACCACTTAGAGTTAAGTTATAAATAATCAGATTGAAAGTTGAGAAAATTTAAAACCAAAGGTTGTAAAGTTAGGTTCAACTACCTTTTTTTTGTCCTAAAATATGTTTTACAGTGTGCATGAGTGCAGTTGTGTTTTAGTTGACCAATAGTTTAGTACACCAACAGACAATGAGTGAAGAGGTATTTGACTGAAGATTTTTTCTGTGTTTGCTTTTTTGGTCAAAAGTTTGATCGCTCCTCTTGCAAATACACACATTAACCAATTAACCTCAGCTGGCTACTATTTCACTTGCCACAGCCAGACCTGATTACTACCAGACCTGTAGAATCAAGAAATCACATGAACAGAACAGTACAAGTAGGCCAAATGATCTCAGAAAGCTTCAAGTCATGCCCCAATCTAAAGAAATCCTAAATCAGCTGGGGAAACAAAATCAATTACATTTATTAATCTTGAAATCGGTTGGGGACTCTAGCAAACCACAGTAAGACCCATTCTACACAAATTGGGAAACTTGAAACGTTGGTGAACCTTCACAGGAGGCAACGGCCTACCAAAATCGACTCATCCAGGAGATCATAAAACAAACCAGGACAACATCGCACAGGACAGCATTGCAGGCTTCACTTCCCTTAGTTAAGGTCAGTGTTAATGATTAAACAATTTAAAAAAAAAATTTGGAAAAAAGTGGCATCCATGGTCAACAGTGAAAACTGCTGCTGACCAAAGAAAGCAGAAAAGCGTGTCTCACATTTGCCAAAAAGCTTTTGATGGTCCCCAAGACTTTTGTGAAAGTATTGTGTTGTACTATCAGCTAAGATGAAAGCAAAACTTTTTGGAGGGAGAGCATACATCAAATAAAATAATTTGAGACACAACACCACCAACTATGAATAGATGAAAAAAATTAGATATTTGAAATCAGTGTTTACCCAAGTGTGTATTCAAGGGGTTTAAGAATTGACGGAAGGTCTGTATAAATGTCGTAGTGAATGGCTCTATTTTGTACCAATTTTACAAACCAACTGCAAGGCTACAAAATGGTGTAAGGTTTAAATTACCAGTCCCTCTGTAATTGTTTTTTTTTTTTTTTTTTCATCTATACAAAAGTCTGACCCCTCCTTGCTGCACTGGACTTTACACATCCCACCATGTAGCTTGTATGTTTTTATAGTAGAAACCAGCTTCCATCTGAGACTTAAATGCCACTAAAATGTGGTATTTACAGAGACTTCTGAATTTCACTTATACTTACACCCCATTTTGGAATGCAATGTTCTTTTTGCATCTTCCTTTGAATGAGCAGGGTATATTTCTGGCTTTTTTTAGTTGATTCAGGAAAAGCTTTATGTATCTATACTTTTATATTGCTTCTTTAATGTGCTTATGTTCCTTGTCCTTCCCATCTGTTCTTGTGGGGACCTGGTTAGTTACAAAGCTCTGAGACAGTTTGTTTTTATTTAGAGAGACCTAAAAAACAGGTGTGTAGATTTTCTGCAAAGTTGAGTCTTGAACCTTCCATGACTCATTGTGTTTCCTTCACAGTCCAATAATTAAAAGATCTGGGATTTGGAGAATTCACGTGATTGGGGTTCTGTCAGAAAGTTAAACTTAGGAACGTCATCTAGACAGAAAATTGATGATGAAGAGTACATGAAATGGCAGGGATAAGATTGGAACCAACATGGTGATCTACTGCAGTCATTGTGTATGTATGTATATGTATGTATATATGTGTGTGTGTGTGTGTGTATATATAATAAATAAAATGAACAGAACTGTGATGAAAGAAGTCATTATGAAGGCTGAAGAGGATTTTAAAAAAAGGTAATCATGTACAAGAAGATTATGGTTTTCATGTTATGTCCGCTTGATAGCTGAGATTAGCCTTCCTATGGACATTTGAATTGATGTATATGCAATAGTGTGGAAATGTATTTAAAGGTTTCTGGTGCTAGTAACCTTTATTCATTAGCAGCTGGACTAGAAGTAGGGTAAAGAGAAAAGGGGAAGATGTAAAATGAATGACCTAGGGCCTGGGAATCAAACCCAGGACAGCTGCATTGAGAACTGTAGCATAAGATGCACCTGCTCTACCACTGAGCCTCATGACGCCCCTCACTAGATAGTCAAACACTAATGTAGCACTGAACACCGGCATTGTTCTTGATCTCAAGTTTGGATTTGAGAAATTAAGTGTGAGGGGGGAAAAAGCAAAAACGGTAAAATCTATAAGAGAATAAATACTCTTTCACAGTATTTGTTTTTGGAGCCGACGGTTTCAAGTTGTTACAAAGGAAATCATAATTTCTTAGAATTGCCTGTTCCCATTTACCTATTTATTTGTTTATTTACCTGTTTGTTATTTACTTTTTACTTTTTTTGCTGCTCATACTTTGCAAAGACACTGTTATAATTATTTTTATATGAATTATCATTATATAATTATTGGTATTACTGCATTTGAGAATGCTTTTTTCTTGTCATAGTTCATTCCTGACTACCAGATGGTTTTATTACCAAATCAATTAACACACATACTGTACTGTGCATAGATAATGGACTGCACTGGACTCTTTTTAATTTTAATACTGTTTGCATACAGTTTCTGTCTTTTTGTCTGTTCAGGCATTCTTACTGGCTTACTCAAATAAAAAAACAAAAATTATGAAATGTATCCATGTGTTAACTCAGTTTTACATTACTGCAGAACAGGATTGCTAAATCTGCTATATGGCATGAAACAGACTGTTTTCCTCCTAAGCATACTGTTCGCATTTTCCTGAGATTCCACGTGGTTGGAAATAATTGGGATTACATAGCTTTAAAAGTCGACAAATCAAAAACGTTTAGCTATTTTTATTATGTTCTAGCTGAAATGTCCTATATTGTCCCAGTTTACTTGACATGCTGGTGGACAGTGGTGCTAACAAGCAGCTCCGCAAGGCTGAGCTTGGGCACAGCAGTGCTCTGAAATAAATGCAAACATCAGCATCCTAGTGAGCTGCATTTTAGTAGGTAATGTGATGTTAAACACCCTAGTATAGCTTTTTATCATGGTAACATTTTCTAGAAAGCATTCAAGTACAACTGAGGCTGATGGGTACTTTGCACATTTTTGGGTGGAAGGGGAAGCCCAAGGTCATATGTCAGACTCTGTGTTGTGCATGAAAATGTTCATTGCTTTAACACTTATTTGTTCAAAAAACAGTTTGTTGTGTGTGTTTGTGTTTTTGAGACAAGGTTGAATTGTGCTCTGCACTGATATTTTAAAGCTGATCTCTTTAAGAGTGAATGAAAGCTGTAAACTAACCTTCCAGGCAAACTAGGTACTGTATTCAGAAAACGGCAACGACGTGTGTTTCAGGCTGTTACATATGGATTAGGATACACTGTTGTCACACATTACTCAGAATGCATCACAAAAATCTCTGCCAATATGTCGGTGGTGCAAATAAACTGCAAGCATAACATTGCAGTTGTCTTAAAATAGCTCTGAGATATAGTTAAGATAATGGGAGATAACAGGACATTGATAAAGAACTAGGCCTATAGTAAAGAGGTGGAGTTCAGGTGCATGCAAGTGTAGTAGTGTGTTAGAAATGTACTTGATCTCACTGTAGTGGTAATGCATGTGCTTGAGCCTCCAACAGGAGCCCCCAAATGAATATCTTGATCAATCTCTTTGTAGGGATCTTACTTTGAACCTGATACAAATCAAAGGCTCATGCCCAAACCATCATAACTGAGATGATGGTATGAGTTGTTTCCCAATCCAGCTGTTACCTCACACAAGCCTGATGATTGTAGGAGCAGGTGTGGTTTGCAACTACAACAGCTACAAGTGAAGGTATATGTTGAAACTTGATGCATTTTGTTATTCCTAAATTTTCTTTGTCTACGGTGAGTATAGGCAAAATGAAAGCCCACAGCCTTTCTTAATCTGAATCATGATTTTAATCAAAGAAGAGCACCAACTTCCGAGTGTTTTTAAAGTGACTGCAAATTAAAATATGGTTTCAACTGAAACTTTGTTGGTCAAAATTTCAGACTTATTTTACTTACAGCTAAAAAGGGAAAATATATGAATGATAGCCGCTTTCTTGATAATTTGGCCATATTAAAATGCATTTGATGTGAGCAAAAGGAACCAGCAAGAATTAAATGGATGTTAAGCTGGTCAAGGCCAGGTTGCTAATGCTATGCTTTGACATATGTTAATCGGCACACTGTCATGTCCTTTATTTCATTACAGAAAGATGAATTATTGCGAATTAGTTCAAGGTGGGAGAGTAAATTTAGCTTTTAGGCTGTTTGAATAGTAAACCATACAGCTGTACAGCACAAATCCATATATTCAGTTTTAATCCTTGACAAATGTGAACTTGCTCAACACTGGTCAAGCATTTTCATTCTATCTTGTCCATGGGTATTTTTTGAAGAGTGATTAAATGAGTCATCAATAACTGGATGAGTCATTAAATGGATGTTTTCAAAAAATATTTGCAATTTTTTTTTAGGTTTTTAAGTGATGGAGTTCATTAGTTCTTAAAATGACAACTAATGCCCCTCATTGGCTTTATCCCGAACTAATCTCTAGGACTGCACATCTGTAATGGGCTATTCACATAAATATAAAGAGTGACTAGTAGCTTTGGACATGAACATTCTCAGAATACTTAAAGATCTTTGCCTGAACTTTTCGTCGTGGGGGTGTAATTCTGTCAGAATTTATATTATAGAAAGATGGCCAGGTGCTGTGCTGTCTGGTGGAAGTCTAATCTTCTAAAGGGCAGCTGAATTAATTCTGACTGAGTCATGAAAACGAAAAGAGGAAATGGGAGCAATGATTGTAGGCCTGGCCGGGTGCAATCAGACCTCTACTGACGTGAAGGTAACAAGTGAAAACTGCCCTATGATAGCTTCCCCACATCAAAGCATAACGGGTGCAATTTGAATTAGAAATTGTAAAGTTTTGGGCAATTCAGAGAAGATTATAGGTGTCAGTCTGTTCCCCTTTTTATCGTAACACAAAAATTGGCAGCAGTTTGGATTTTATTAGCTCAGTGTTTTTAATTCCCACTTGTTAACTCAACTCTTCTGTGAAATTGTATATTCTATAAAGCTGATTTCTTGCAACTAGAAGGGCCAAATTAAGGTGGGAAAACTGACAACTCAGATCAACAAAGACATTTTGTCAAATACATACACTCTACTTAACTAAAATCCCTCCAGTTACTCCAATAAATCAGGAGTGTATAAAAGAAAATCAGTATAGTCAAATGAGACCAGGTGAACAAATGTACTCTCATTCTAAGCATTTTCGGTATAAAGAGCTTTGATTTGAAAATGTCCAAAATATTTTAGGGATTATTTCAATTAGGGGTTGTAAGGAGGATTTGTTGAGACTGATTAGAGAAAACCAAGAGATCAAATGGCAGCAATGAAAGGAGACATAAAGGGTAATAATGCCAAGACACAGAAAAGACAGAAATGTCCATACTTGTCATGATTTATAGGGGTTTTGAATTTTGTTTTTTCTCACATCATAATTATGTTTTCCAGGCAGTGCTTTAATTCATTCCTTAGGTTTAGTTCCTTGGTAATTCTTGTATTCTGTTCATGGTGCATTTTAGTTTATGTTCTGTTACTTCTGTTAGAGATTTGTTTGGTTAGATTGTTTTCTTGCATTTCTGTTCAGCTCATTCATGTTTTGGTTACTGCTCTCTACCACAGCCATTTTATAATCAACTTCATTCAGCCCACCTGTGTCATGCCTATCAGCCTCCCTGTCACACCTGTGTTCTGTACTATATTTACTCGTTTGCTCCTTACTGGATTATACCGTTTGTTCTCACTATGCCAAGCCGTGCCATGCCGGCTCACGTTTTGTTTTGTCATTTCTCATGCCTGCCTATAGGTTTTTGCTTTTTATCGAAACGTTTTTACTCACCGCATCTCTGCCTTCCTTTCAGCACTTGGGTTTGCACCGAAAGCCTCATTCTTGACAATACTAACAAAAATGGTAATGAGCAACAATTTTTCACTTCAGTGTGGTCTGCCTCACAAAGCACTTGCCGCTCCTGTCACCATGTGACTTTGTCTAGTGAATAAAAATTGAAAACCTGTATCTGATCAGATACAGTATTTTTTGGCTGTTCGACAAATGACAAAAACAATTTTGTTTCATCAGAAATTTATCAAAAACAGTGGAACACATTTTCATGAACTCTGGTACAAATGTATGGAATGCACCAATTTTTCAAAATTAAATAAATAAATGAAACATTATGAAATAAGTACATCAATATATAACAATGATTTTAATTTGACAATGAAATTGTGAAATAATTTGAATGCATATAAAATTCTCAGCTCATTATTATGAAATATATTTCATTTTCCATTAAAAATCAGCGTTATAATTTAAAAGAATTTTTATGTAAAATTTTTACCTAATTAAAATTATTGTTAAGGCCATTTTTATGTAATACCAGCAGTTTTTTTTTTTTTTTTTTTGGGGGGGGGTTCCCCCATGGCCATTTATTTCATAATGTCTCTTTACAACGGAAAGACTGTGGGGCCAATCAGCATCAACGGGCTGGACCTGCATCCTCATTGGCTGAGCCTTGCATAGAGATTAGTTTCCTGGGTACCGGCTCCCTGAGCAGCTACTGCGCCAGCTCAAGGTTTAGGAAGGATGGTGGAGTTTCTTTAACTCCATTCAGCTCTGGTTACCTTAGCAGATCAAATTGAGGGGAATAATTTATCCTATGATGCCATTTTGAGTTGTTTGGATGATATCTTTCAAATGATAAAGGAAGATAATTGCTCTCCAGAATGTTAGCATCGACGATGCCATTGTGGATACCCTAAGAGCCATTGAGCACCGTGTCCGCATGGAATATGCAGAACAGCACTCAAGCCTTTGTGGTAACCATCGGGGTTATTGCTGTTATGTTTTCTGTGTCACCCAGCAGTTCACTGCGGTCAAGTGAGCCGACAGTCACGCCAGTCAACGTTAGCTCTCTTTTTATTTAAAGATTAGCTTTGCACATGCAAGGTGCATTATGGTAATAGAGCAGACCAGACACCAATCCAGGCAACGGCTGAGAAATTT